ATTACATGTATGTGATTTTTAAAAATAACCTGTACCTCACTTAAAAGAAATCAGATCATGTTCACTATTTATTGTCATAATCCATTTAGCAAGTATCAAGTCTGGGGCCTCAGCTGTGGCAAGGAAGATGCTACAGTCCCTGGCTGACAGCTCATGTGTGCACCTGGTAGAGTGGCACCGCACAACCTGGTGCTCTGGCCTGCTGGTACTCAGCAGTTACAGGCTCTGCCTGGTCACTGGCACTATGGTCTTCTGCCTTCTGGAACTGCCTTGGGAAGACCTGTTGCACAAGCTTACTGGAGAAGCATGAGTGACTGTAGTGGCAGGTGAGCAATTCCTGGGCCAGGGTCAGAGGCAGAGGCCAGCAACTAGGGTATGTCAGTTCTCAGAAACTGGAACTGAGGCTTCACCTCAGTGTTCTTTGCCAGCACTGTAACTGCCACTAACAGTTATGGCCACACCACACCCCTACTGGATGGAGGCAAGACCTTCTGCACATCTACTTGACATCTACTTCACCATCCTGTTCCTAACTGCCATGATCCAGCAACATCACCATGCTTGTTACCAGCAAACCAGTCTTCTATTTCCACATCTGCTGGGGCTTCTCCAAGCATGTGATGGCCACTGTCCATGTCATTGTCCTTGGGTTTGTTGCCATGTCCTGATTCTCCTTCATCTCAGCTGCTGTGTTCTCAGTCTCAGAGGATGACTGAACTTCCTTGAATCTTTTTGTGCTTAATTTTTTTGAGTACCAACTGCCTAGGGGATTATGTTCCCGGGAAAGGCTACAATCAAAAATTCAGAGAGCTCTACAAGACCGGGATCACATGTTACTTATTGCTGGACCTCACTGCAATGCTGGTGGTTCTGGAGACATTCTGTCTGCTTGTTCAGGAAGATGTTCTCCATGAAGGATGAGAACAAAGACCAGGTGCACACTGTGGGGCACAATTGATCAACTGTCTTTCTTCTCCATCACATGAAGCTGCTGAGGAGGAGGAGTGGAGGCAAAGTGAGCCCTTTGAAGTGTGCAAGTGTTGTGAATGGCTCTGCCAGCTACTGGGCCTGGCCTTCCCTTGGGTTGCAGTGTCTATGTATATAGGAATATAAAGGCTGAGGTGATTAAAAAAAAAAAAAAAAAGGCTGAGGTGATGCTATTTTGAGAAATAGCTACTATTTGCATTATTTTTAAAAATGAAATGAAAGAATCTTTTTGTGCTTAATTTTTTTGAGCACCAACTGCCTAGGGGATTATGTTCCCGGGAAAGGCTACAATCAAAAATTCAGAGAGCTCTACAAGACTGGGATCACATGTTACTTATTTTGCTGGACCTCACTGCAATGCTGGTGGTTCTGGAGACCTGTCAGCTTGGAAATGGGCTCTGTACCTATGATTCATGTGTGACAAAATTACCTGTACTTGTAAGACAAGAACACCTGAAGCAGTATGCTAAGGTAGACAGAAACAGATTCTGTATTTTTACTTGGGCATATTGGGGTTTGAATCAAAATCATTGTCTAATGGCTAAATCACAAGATTTCTATTTTTTTAAAAAAAGGTATTTTATAAATAGGTTTATGTGTATTGGTTCGCATGTACCTATCAAAAATGATTATTTTTACAGAATCTAAGTTAAACCTTATTTATAATGAGTAGATTACCATTAACTATGCACATATAAAGTATAAATGTTTATATCCTCTACATATAAGTTACCAGATCTAACTGTACTTTTTAACCCAAAATTGTAGATAGTTTTTATTTTTTATACTAAAAAAGCCAAAATTGCTACAATAAGGAGATTAGTAAGTCTAAGAGTAAATAACTTAATATTCTATTACAATAAGTACTCTACCTTCTTGCAACAGTATGACATTAGATTCTCAAATATCTGTAAACTTTTGTTTTGGAAGAGGACAAGTAAGGAATAGCAGCACTTGTAAAATGGTTGAGATATTTTGTTTAGAAAGTACACTGATTTACACTTACCTAGTCCTAAAGCATAGAACATACACATAAAAGCCCTAAATAAACAGACCGTGTTGCATTAATCTAAAAATCCTAAATTAGAAGCTAAAAATAAATAAAATCAGCTTGGCTTGGTGGAACACACCTGTAATCCTAGCACTTGGGAGGCTATTATAGGAGGATTGCCACAAATTCAGGGCCAACCTGAGCTACATAGAGAGTTCGACAGCCTGAACTACACAGTTGAGATCCTGTCTCAAAACCAATCAATCATGACTGCTTATTTAAAAAAAGAAAAAAGTACTGAGTTTGTCAGTCTGGTCTTTATCCAGGAAAATGACAACAACTGTAATGGTTAGAACCGAGGGGTTATATAACGTAACTTACATAACAGGCACCCTTCACGGAGAGAGTAACATGATTAGTACTTCTCAATGCTTCCCAGTTAAGTTCTACCTGATGGCTGCCCTTCCACAGACAATCATTATCTAAACTTCCAACACCACAGATTAGGCTTCCCTTTTAATTCTCAATCATGAACAATTTAAAACATCAAAAGTACACAGAAGGTTTTCACAACTATTTTTCAAATGACTTAGTGAAATGTAATATGCCTACAGAAAGATATATAAACTGTAAGTGTACTCTGAGGAATTTTCTCAAAGGGCACACACTAAATAATTTGTATCCCAACAAAAACTTTAGAATTTTATGAAGACTAAAACACCTCAAGCCCCTCTACAACAGTTATTGCCATCACAATCCCAACACAATTGATTACTTTTGCCCGGTTTATTTACTTCACCTAAACAGTCATACTTTTGGGTCTGGTTTCTTTATACTCGATGTTATTTATTCAGCATTCACCTGTCATGTAATCCTAATATGAACACACACACTGTTCACATTCAACTGCTCATGGGAACCTGAGCTGTTCCCAATTCTGTAATAATGCTGCTTTAACATTCTTGCACATGTCTTTTGGTGAAAATACATAATCAACAAAGGCATATACTTAGGGGTATAAATAATAAGTCACAGGGTTTGTGCATGCTCATGGTAGATAATCAGTCAAAGCAGATGCATCAGTTCAGAGGCTGCCAGCAGTGTGAGTCCCACTGTTCCACATCCTTGCAAACACTCTCTTGCCTGGGCTTTTCACATTAGTTACTGTGGAGTGTGTGGATGCAGTATAAGATCACAAGTTTTAAAGAATTTTCCCGATGGCTAATGAAGCTGAGCATTTAGTTTCAGTACATTTACTGACCATTTGCACATCCTTTTTGGTGTCTCTGTGAAGTATCTATCCAAGTACTCTGCCTACTTATCTACTGGCTTGTTTTTGCCTTAGTAGCATGTAAAAATAAAAGACATACAGTATTGTCAGGTTTAGTTTTTCACCTTTTTAATGTTGTCTTTGGTGAACAGAGGGTCTTACTGTAACCAACTTGCCAACTTTTCTACTATGACTTGCACTTCCTACATCTGGATGAAGAAAATTTCCCTATTCCAACATTATAAAATTGTTCTCTAATGTTTAAGAGACATTTTATCATTTTATTTCTTATATTTAGATCCGCAGTTCACCCAGAACTGTTTTTGTGGATGGTGTAAGGTAGAAAGATTAATTTTCCCCCTAGACTCAATAATGTTTATTATGACATCACCCTCTCTAGCACACTGCAGTATCACCTTTACTATAAATGGAGCAAATATTTGTGTAGGTATGCTTTAGGACCAATTGATCTTTGTTTTTCTTTTGGCCCAAAAGACAATGTCTCAAATGACGACAGGCTTGTACCCTGTTATGGTTTGTGTCTAGTTGTCCCCCCAAAGCCTCATGGAGTCATGGGGCAGCTTCTGGAGTTTGTGACTGATTCATGATCTAATGCTGTGATTATGGGTGTGAGTGCCCTGGGGCAAATACTCTGCATTACAATGTGAGGAGGGGAAACAGGCTCAGCTAGTGCCTGAGCTGCTGCCACTCCTTTTGTGCTCTTGCTCTTTGCTGCTACCATGAATGGCTGCTCTCTGCCACATGGCATTCTGCCTTGGAGCCAGCTGAGTATGGACTGATACCTCCATTCACTATAAGATGAATAAACCTTTCCTTCCTTCATTTTGGTGTTGGGTATTTATCCCACAACAAGAGAAGAATAATAAGACATACCCCACCTTGATAATCAGTGCTACTAATTTATGTTTCCTCTTCATTACTCCTGGCTTTTTGCCCATGTAAGCTTTAATTAAAATCAGTTTCAAAATTCTTCCCTCTTATAAGTCTCACACACATGGTATTTTAAGTAGAAATTTCCTTTAATAAATAGATTGGTAAAGAGAACAGAGAATAGTATCTTTTTTTTTTTTTTTTTTTTTTTTGGTGGTACTGAGGACTGAATAAGACCTTGCTCTTGCCAGGCTAGTGCTTATTTTACTGAGCTTTCTCCCCATCCCCAACAATAGTCTTCTAATCAAAAAAAAATTATACCTTTCATTTAGTTACATTTTCCTTAGCTATCTTTTAATAACATCAGTTTATAAACCTTTTTTCTGCCAGTGCTCAGATTTGAACCCAGAGGCAAGTGCTCTGCCTCTGAGCTGTGTATTATGCCTTTTCTCACTCAGACAAGGTGTTGCTACGCTGCTCTGCCAGCCTCAAACTTGTGATCTCTCCTGCCTCTCTGTCTTCTAGGTAGCTAGGATCATAGGTGTACACCACAGATGAGAAGTCTTGCATATCATTATGCTACTTCCAGTTCTTTAGTTGTTTAATACCATAGTAAAATTCTGCTTTTTCTATTTGTTGGTTTGTATAGGTAAAATATAATTCATTTCTGAATACTGATCTTGTACACAGTGATGACCTTGGTGAATTGGCTGCAATCTATTACATTATTTAGGAATTTCTCTTTATGCAGAATCATTTTTTAATGATAGCTTTCTTCCTTCCCTTTTTCCTTGTCTGGCCTAACTGCAACTGACTAGGACCTTCAATACAATGCCAAATAGAACTTCTGGGGCTGGCAAGATGGCGGCGGCGGCAACAGCGCTGGGCAGGAGAGGTGGAGGTGGCAGAAGAGGTAGTGGGGCTGGCGGTGGCTCTAGTGGCGGGACAGGCAGCAGCCACAGTGGCTTGTTGGGTAAGTGGAAGACTGATGATAAGCCTGTAAAAATTGACAAATGGAATGGATCTGCTATGAAAAACTCTTTGGATGATTCTGCCAAAAAGATACTTCTGGAAAAGTACAAATACGTGGAGAATTTTGGGCTAATTGATGGTTGCCTCACCATCTGCACCATTTCCTGGTTTTATTTATTCATTTATTTTTTGCCATTGTGGCTTTAATTTGGGATTATATACACCCCTTTCCAGAGTCTAGGCCAGTTTTGGCTTTGTGTGTCATATCCTATTTTGTGATGATGGAAATTCTGACCATTTATACCTCGTATAAGGAGAAGAGCATCTTTCTTGTGGCTCACAGGAAAGATCCTACGGGGATGGATCCCGATGATATTTGACAACTGTCCTCTAGTCTCAAAAGGTTTTATGACAAATATACCCTGAAGCTGACTTTCATCAGTGGGAGAACAAAACAGCAGCGGGAAGCCGAATTCACCAAGTCCATTGCTAAATTTTTTTATCATAGCAGGACACTGGTCATGGATGCGTATGAACCTGAAATATCCAGGCTCCATGACAGTCTTGCTGTAGACAGAAAAGCAAAATAGATCATTCTAAAAGCAGCCCACTTTCTGCTGGACCATGCAGAATTATTGGGTGGGTTGGGTGAAGAAATGGAATTTAAAATGGGTAAAGAATTGATTAAAGTGTCCCTGTTTTGTCTTGAAATTTTATTCCACTCACAGGATTTTCTAGCACAAATAAGAGAAGTTGTAGTTCTTATGTCTAGCTGTAGCTTCCTTAGTCTGCTGATTGTGTTGTTTTGATTTGCTTTTCTGGAAAGGCGTTTTTGCTGGAAGCTATCTAGAATTTTTTTTTCTTACTAGCACTATTTTATATAGTGTAGCTTTGTGCCATGCAACATTGAAGACTCAGTTTTTAAAAATGATTAACCTGTTGCTAGCTTTGTGTTAATTCCTGTTTCAACAACTTTCCTTAAAGAATTCAGGATACAACTTGTGTATGACAGCTTTCTGTTAACACCATTTTTGTGGATGTGTGTATGTCTAACTTGGGGGTAAAAATTTTTTTTAAGAGCTTTTCAATTTGCCTGCTACATTTTGTGCACTTAACCAATTAAAGAAACCAGTGGCATTAAAAAAACAAAACAAACTTCTGATATCAGACCATTGCCAATCTCAGGAAAAAACCTTTCAGTGTTTCACTATTAAGTATTTTAACAGTTGCTATAGATCTCTGATACATAGCAATCCCCACTTACAGGTCCCAAGACTGCCAGTAGGTGCCTGAAACCTCAGAAAGTACTGAATGCTACACAGACTATTCCATGTTCTTTATACATATACCTCTGATAAAGCCATAGCAGGAGATTAACAATAATAAAATAGAATACTTTAAAATACTTTACTGTACTTTCAGCTTTTCATTTAAATGAAGTACTTTATGGCTGTCTTTGTCAGATCCAAACTGCCATCATTACTACTCTTGCAATTTGAGGTTACTATTAGTGTTTGTTTGTTTGTTTTGCAGAACCGAGGACTGAACTCAGGCCCTTGCACTTGCCAGGCAAGTGCTTATTCTATTGAGCTATCTTCCCGGCCCTGAGGTTATTATTAAGTAAAGGTTACTTGAACATAAGCACTGTGAAACTTCAACAGATGATCTGCTAACAGACCAAAGGGTGCTAGTGACTAAAGGGTGGGGAGTACATACAGTGTGGACATGCATTACACAGGCATGATCCACATGCTGAGTCATGAGGGGTAACACAGGAGTAGGTTACACTATTCAAAATAGCATGCAAGTTTAAGACTCATGAATTATTTCTCACATTGTTATTTTTTTGGGTGACAGTTGACAACAGGTAACTGATACTGTGGAATGCAAAACGGGATGAGGTGGCATTACTGAACATTCTATTAAAAGGAGTTCTCCCTTACTCCTAGCTACCTTAAAAGCTTTCACTCTTAAATCATATAAACCTCATAAAATGGTTTCTCTTCATCTACTAAGACTTCTCTCCTTTATTAATAAGGTGAATTAGATTTACAAATTTGTGAATATCAAGCCAATCTGCTTATCTGGAAAGTCACTGTGAGACAGGGTCTCACTAAATTGCCCAAACTGGTCTCCAACTTACAATCTTCTGTCTCAGCCTCTCAAGAAGCTAGACTTACAGGGCTGTGCCGCTGCACCAGGCTCTTTTGCTATTGTCATACATTTAATCTTACATATAGTTCAAGCCTCTCAGTTACATTATCAGCATTTAATACATATTCATTCACTTACACTAGGCCACATATTCAATATCTGCCCTCCTCCATTCCTTCCTGCATCTCCACATTTTCATATGGGATTTCTCATACTGTAGAACTTACAGGTAACGTATTTACTTGTTTTTGTTCCTATCAGGACATTTTAATTTTCCTCTTGCTCTGAATGCATAGTTCCCCTAGGTATAGGATTTTTGGTTTGTTTTCAGTATTTTAAAAATGTGATTCAGTTACTTCTGATTCTTATGCAAACAAAACAAAACAGCCATTGTTCTTTTTGGTTATCTGAGGTTCACTTATCTCTGGTTGTCAGTTAGATTTTCTTTAGTTTTAATTATTTCCTCTTGTTTTTTGTTTGTTTGAAGTCAATCTGCTTTTTATTAAGAGCTTCCTAAAAGTAGCTTATATTATGGGTTTTGTAAGCCATCACAGCCTTTCTGTCTTCAAATCTTGTTAGACATTCTTTCTCTTCTGGGATTCCAATTATAATTGTGCTTCAGCCTTCCTCAACTTGAATTCTGTGAAAGACTCAAAGCCTAAATCCACCATTTACTTCTCTCTTATGCATTTGGAATATAACTACCTATGTACATTCTTGAGAGAAGTAAGGAATGCTAGCTAAGAAGTGTTTGTCTCTACTTTCCTTTTGTCATTCTGTGATGTTTCCTTTGTTTTTTAATTGTTTTTATAAAAAAAGTTGTACGAAGCATTCTGAATGTCAACAAAACAGTTGCAACACGTTTTTTTACAATTACAGAGTGGTATTCAGTTAACAGAACAATAATTATTTCATATAAGCTGCATCAGAGACAACTGAAGATGAAAAACTACCATCCTCATATATAACAAATTTGTGCTGTGCACCAACAAGAACCTGCTTTAAATTTCCATGCCAATTTACAACCCCTATACTGTACCAGGAAAGGTTAGTGGCTACTGAAAATACCACCAGGACAGGGCTATCTAAAGATGCATTCGGTAATGTGTTAACTATACCAAAAAAAAAAAAAAAAAAAAAGGACATTGTACAGTTTAAAAACAAATCTTACAGTCTTACATTTCATTTTTTTTTTTTCTTCAAAAGGAGTTAGTTGTGTACAGGGGGGTTAAATGCTTTATAGACAAGAAAAAAAAAACTGCGCTAGAACTTACTCATCATCATCTTTTCCTTCATCCTCATCCTCTTCATCTTCTTCTTCCTCCTCTCCCTTCTTTTTCTTGCTTTTTTCAGCCTTGACGACTCCCTTTTTTGCTACATCAGGCTTTCCTTTAGCCCATTAGGCAGCGATGTCCTTTTCATACTTCTCCTTCAGCTTAGCAGCCTTCTTCTCGTGTGGTTGTTTGTCATCTGCTGCAGTATTATTCCACATTTCTCCAAGTTTCTTTGCAACATCACCAATGGAGAGGCCAGGATGTTCTCCTTTGATTTTGGGCAATACTCAGAACAGAACAAGAAGAAGGCTGAAGGAGGCCTCTTGGGCACATTGGGATCCTTGAACTTCTTTTTTGTTTCTCCTTTAGGAGGAATATAAGTTTTTATTTCTCTTTCATAATGAGCCTTGTCTGCTTTTGCCATATCTTCAAATTTTCCTTTCTCTTTAGCAGACATGGTCTTGCACCTCTCTGAGCACTTCTTAGAAAACTCTGAGAAGTTAACGGAAGCATCTGGGTGCTTCTTGTGCTTCTCTCGGCAAGTTTGCACAAAGAATGCATATGATGACATCTTGCCTCTCGGCTTCTTAGGATCTCCTTTGCCTATGTTTACTTGTTTTCCTCAGCGAGGTACAGAGTCACCCAGTGCCCGTCCGGCTCTCACTTGCCCCAGCGCTGTCTCTATGGAGCTCAATGTACTGCAATCTCATTTATTTTTACTTTTAGACAGGGTCCTGCTAAATTGCCCAGGCTGGTCTCACACTCACTACCCTCCTGCCTTGCCCTCCTAGACACCTCGGATTATAGGAAGCTAAGATTACCATGCCCAACTGGCTGTAATATTTCTACTAATGCCTTCTAATTTACTAATCTTGTCTTTTTTTTTTTTTTTTTTTTGGAAGAACCGGCGATTGAACTCAGACCCTTGAGCTTGACAGGCAAGTGCTTATTCTACTGAGCCATCTCCCCGGCCCCTCTAATCTTGTCTTTCAAAGCTAGTATTCTTCCATTAAATCTGTATGCTATGCTCTTAATTTCAGTTAATTTGTTTTTCTGTTCTAAAACTTCCATTGCTCCTTTTTATAATTTGCTTCCTGTAACCCGCCTCTTTTATGTAACTTGTTATGTAGCTCAGGCTTGCCTTGAACTCACAGGCATCTTCCTGCTTCAGTCTCATACATGTTCCGTTTACAGGTCTGTGCCACCATGGCCAACTATTCCATAAATTTCCTGTAACTTTCCTATTATTAAATATACTACTTGAAGTTTAAACATAAAAAGTCCTTCACTAATATCTCTAAACAATATATATTTTACTATTTTGCTCTTAGCCTTCTGTTATTCTCTCTTCTTGCTTGACATGCAATGTTATTTTGATTGAGAAACAATCAAGGGGGCCTACCCCTTAGCTCAGTTCTTTTTTTTTTTCTTTTCAAAGTTTTATTGATAAACATATAGCAATGAGACAGTTTCAAATCAGCTCAGTTCTTTAAGTGGCTGCTTCAACAAAGCAGTCAGGCTCAGGTAGCTGTGGTTCGATCCCCACAACTCAAGCCAGCCAAACCTGCCCTGAAGGCATTCGGAGCAAAAAAAACCAAAAACAATCAAATTATGTGAATGTGAAAAATTCCAGAGACTCTGGATGATATTTTAAAAATATTTTTAAAAGGGAACTTTTAAAAAGAGTTCTCTTTATTATCTATAGCTCAGAAAATAGAGAAGCCTTATTTGTGTGGCTTTTTCCTTCCTACTTTGCATCTACTCTCAAAAATTCTTTTAAATATGACCACACACACACACAGACACAGATATTTCAGCTGTCCCAAGCTTACTTAGGACTTCACAAATTCTTGTATATCTGCAGCTATATTACATTCAATTTTTTCGATTCTCAGATCACCCCTCTCTGAGTACTGCACCCTACTTTTTCTCTGCTTTCTTCAGTTTCTCAACCTTTTTAGCTTTGTGATAAGTGACAAGCAGAATGCGTCTGTACTCTATAACACAGTATTTATTATATACAATTGTAATACTATTATAGTAGCACATCTAACACTTTATGTAACCTGTATCTCAGTAGAATTCCGTCTCTCTAATTCAATGTAAATGAGAATCTCTACTTATGGAGGCTGTACTGTTAATTGCACATATAATCTAACTGGATTTTAGTTATCAC